AGGGTATAAAATCCTAGAAATTATTAAAATTAAGTGAAAGTAAGCATTTCCAAAAACAGAAAATGAGCTACAATTCTTTAAGTAGGGTATAAAATCCTAGAAATTATTAAAATTAAGTGAAATTAAGCATTTCCAAAAACTAAAATTAAGTGAAAGTAAGCATTTCCAAAAACAGAAGGAGATACTTTAAAATTGCAATCATTATTTTATTTTTTAATTTTCCAGAGTTTCCATAATGCATTTTAGTATTAAACAAAATATATTTCATATTTTAGAATGAGAATTATTAGTTTTTCAATCTGGTCCAGTCTACGTATTTTATGTATGAGGATACCGACACAAAAACACTACAGGGCATGGCCAAAGACCCTTGTCTTGGCTGGATAGTAAGAATTTCTATCTTCGATTTCCAAGCAAGGGCTCCTGATCCCTTCACTAGGCTGCCTGGAAGATGTCCGTAGTCTTGTAACTGGACACTCAAGCTTTGTTTTTGGTATTTAAAATAATCCATACTTTGTTTCATATGTCAGGATAATTTTAGGTTGCTTTTTTCAAAATTTTAAACTTTGTAAAACAGGCTTATGGACTAGACTGATATTTCTCTGGATCCCATAATTCTGTATGTATCGCTGATCTCACTACTTATTTATGGAGGAAAGAAGAAACCTAAATAATACAAAACAAGGCATGTCCTCAAATTCAAAACACTTGACTTTGGAATGTTCTCCCTTCTATAGATGCTCCTTTCCTCTGTGCTCTGCTGCCAACCGTTTCTCAGCACAGGGTCCAGGAATCTGACTGGCTGGTGAACGCAGAAAGTCCCAAATTCTCACAGATGACTAATTTTTAGTAAAGATAAACTGTACTTCTGAATAGTTTTCTGTTTTAAGTTTGTTGATTAGGTATCAAGGGGTGGTAAAGCTTATGAGGGTTCCTTATATAGAAATCTTAGACCTCTATCAAGATACAGTCATTCTTGGGTCCCTATCCTTTCATCCTGGGCCTTATATATGAGGAGAAAAGTGAACTTGCATATCCCTGGTGGTTGCACGTGGTGGGTTTCGGTTAATTTTGCGCTACTAATGTTGGGTAATGGTGATGAGGAGCAGGAGTTAACTTTTGTTAATCAGTGATGCCACCTGGTGGCCAAGGAGTACATTTT